TCGCGTAGCTGCGGTTCACCACCCGCGTGCTGTGGTTCCGCTGCCTCGTCATGGTCCGGATGTCATCCTCCATCTCCTCTGCATCCTCATCGTCGTCGTCGGCCCCGATGCCCTCGAAGCACGCAAGGTCGCCCGCAAACTTGGTCTTCACAATGTTGACCGTCATCTGGCGCCAGTTGGCGATGTGCAGCCGTGGCACCTTGGCCCGCACGCACGCCTGCTCCATGCACCGCGTCAGCCGGTTGTCGGCCCACACGGCCCCGTCCTTCCACCACAGGTACGCGGACATGATTGCGCGTGGGGAGGACTGGCGCAGGAAGGCCTGGCGGAGCGGCACGACGTAGACGAGGTAGTCCAGCAGGAGGTCTCCGATGGCGGCTGGCAGGAAGCGGATGTTGTCCTTGAACCTGCCCGTCTGCTGCTGGCCCTTGTGGTAGGTGGTGTGCAGCATCACGAGCCCGTGCTTGAGGTAGACGCTACGCCTCCGCTGCGTGTTGCGCCAGGTGAGGGAGAACAGCTCGCTCTCGCGCAGCGGCTGGCCCGAGGCCATGTGGATGAGGACGAGGAGCCGCTTGAGGAACTCGTCAGCGACGGCCTCGTACTGGTCGATGGCCTTCTGTCGCCACATGACCCTCGTGACCCCTGCATCAGCCTCTCCATCCTCTCCATCCTCAGCAGTAGGTGCAGCAGTGGTGTCGAGGAATGACGCTCGGAGTGACTGCGACTCCCGTATGACATTGCGCAGTGAGCCCGCGAGCGGCTTCAGCAGTGCCGCGTTCTCCCGGTGCTCGCCAAAGTGCCAGCTAAAGTTGTCGGCGTCGAGGTTGTCCTTGAGTGCCCACGCGCGCATCCGTGGCAGGCCCGCTGCGCCAAACATGAGCTCGCCGTGCAGCAGATGCTGCGCCTGCCTGAACTCCGACAGCAGCAGCTGCTGCACCTCGTCCATGTTCAGGTCGACGTCCCTGTAGGTGAGGATCTGCTCGTCCTCGTCCCAGTGCGCCTGGTGCGAGCCCACTCCGTCCTTCGACACCGCGAACAGCAGCAGGCGCCAGCCCAGTATCTCGCCCATGGGCGTCTCCGTGTCCGGCCGCAGGTACTGCTCGCAGATGCTGTTGATGTGCTCGAGCGTGCTGCCGGCGCCCGACCTCTCGAGGTATGCGGCCGTGCTGAAGATGAGCAGCTGCACAGCCCAGATCAGGCCGGACAGGCAGCTGTTGAAGTTGCCCGGCTCCTTCCACGACTTGGTGCGTGGCTTGACGCTCAGCATCGCGCAGAAGCTGAGGAGCGGCGAGCTGAAGCGGTCGCCGCCGAACTCGTGGCAGACGAGGGCCATGCAGAGGGATCGGAGGGCGTCGTTCAGCGCTAAGCGGTCTCCGTCGGCAGCGCACTCCAGGGCGGCCTCCCAAGCTGTCGTCTGCTCGTCCGTCAGCCGGATCCGGTCCTCGGGCGCCTGCCCTGGTCCGCGCTCAGAGGTGGCGTGAAGTGGCTGCCGCAGTAGGCGACGCGCGGTAGCAGTACGCCATGAACTGCTTCCAGTACCCAAAGTTTGTGCGCGCAGTGTGGATGGCTCCTTCTTGGGGTCGAAGCCGCGCACCCTGCCTGCCCTGCAACTGGCTGGTGCCGATGAGGTAGGGGCGCCATGGAAGCGGCTCAGCGCGAGCTGCCTCGGCCACGTCAGCATGCAGTCCGGCCCGTCGAAGCACCAGCCGTGCACCTCAGCGAGGATCTCGTCCATGACCTCGAGCATCAGGAACAGCTCGGGCTCTCCCTCATCTGCGCTCTTCGGCAGCGCAAAGGAGGCGTGCATCTCGTCCTTCTCTAGGCCCCGCACGTGGTTCTCGATGCCAGTCCGCCTCAGCCACGGGACCGCAGCCGAGGGGTGGCTGTCGAAGCCGTGCACCTTGTTGCCCTCCGTCTTGATGTCGTCCGCTACCATGGTCGCGTCCGCGTCGGCCAGGTCGAAGAAGGCCTGCTCCTGCGGCTCGAGGGCGATGGCGGCAGTAGCTGCGTCCCCTTCCGCCCTGTCGTCGTCTGTAACCACAAAGTACCGGACATGCTCGGTCTTTGCGAAGAAGGTCTGCACCGTGCATCTCTGCCACGCGCCACCCTCACTCTGCTGCGACGGCTTCTGCCCGTGCTCCCGGACACGTGCGCCCTGATGGCCGGCCCGGACCGGGTCAGGGTCGGCCGGCCGTCGTCGCAGAGGATGCAGGAGAATGCCGGATGGCGGCGCAGTCCCTCGATGGCGATGCAGGGCTGGTCTGGCAGGGCGACCTGTCCCGGGGGCCGCAGCTCATGCGTCGCGAAGAGGTCGAGCAGGGTGCGCAGCTCCGGCCCCTTGAGGTCGTGGGGTGGGTGCCTCAGGTGCCACTCCTGGCTGGCGCGCGCGGGCATGAGGCAGGTCCCGCAGTCGCGGCAGAGCAGCACCCCGTGAGTTGCGAGGTAGGAGAAGCTGGCCGCCATCCTTCCCTTGCGCGAGCGGTGTGTGTGCGCTATTCGCCCTTCGTTGCATGCTCTGTATGCGTGCTTGATGCGCCTGCGCCGTCCCGGGGGTCTCCCAATTTGCTGCACAATAATCGCTCCACAATGGCCGTGTGCGCGCGCGAGCGACAGGGGTCGCTCGCGTGGGGATTCCCAATTTGCACTACAGATACGGCCGCTTCTAGGGGTAGCCATTCTTTTCCTCTCCAATAATTACCCCTATAACGATGTCAAACCCACACTCTACAACATCCCTTCACCTCCCGTCACCCCAACTCAAACCACTACCCCCCCCCCTAACTCGACCGGAATCGAGTTATCTCCCTGATTTTAAAACCCTATCAAAATTCTGAATATGCCATTCTGTTCGTCTCGTAAAACTACCCTGTTAACGATATCAAACCTTTTATTTTCCCTACCTTATTCCCAAAAATAAATTCTCAGTTATTATAATTATTCCCTTACATATTCTATCCCCCTACTCACACCAACTCGAAATTCGCCTCCCATCCTAATCCGTATCAATATTCCGAAGAAGCCATTCTCTTCCGCTCGCAAAAACTACCCTATTGACGATATCAAACTATTCCTGTACAACGTCCCCTCACTTCCCATCATTCCTATCAAAATAACTCCCCCCCCCCCTTACTCACCTGAATTCGAAATTCGCCTCCCATTTCAACTCGTATCAAAATTCTGAAGAACCCATTCTCTTACCCTTCAAAAACTACCCTATTAACGATATCGAACGCTCCTTATACGTCATCTCTATCATAACTTATACCCCACTCAATATATTCGATGCCTTACCTTTGCCACCCGACGGAAATCGAAATAACTCACTCATTTCAACTTGTACAAATAATCGGAAGACGCCATTCTTTTCTCCTTATATTTCTCGTCATTTCCTGCTGTCGAACGATAAGTTCTGTCCGTTGTTGCACAAGTTATACTTGGGGTAAAAAACCGGGTCTCCCTGTAACCCCCCCACCACCACCCGTCTAAATCCGGAATATCTCTTTCCTTTTAATTCGTATCAAAAATATGAAGACGCCATTCTCTTCCCCTTGCAATCCTCCCCTAATATCACCCTCGAACGATAAATTCTGTCGCCTACTGCAAAACTTATGGCTCTTATCATACCTGCCCCCCCACCCATTACCAGTCGTCTAAATCCGAAATAACTTGTTCGTTTGAACTCGTATCAAAATTATGAAGACGCCATTTTGTTTCTCTTCCAATCCTCTTTCAAATGTGATGCCGAATGATAAATTCGGCCGCCCATTGCAATACTTATTGCCCCTCATCTGACATACCCTCCTCCCCCCTTCCACCCGACCATATCCGGAATATCTTCACCACTTTAACTCGTATCAAAAATCGGAAAACGCCATTTGATTCCCCTTGTAATTCTCTATTATTGACGATACCGAACGTTAAGATCGGGGTTGTCGCTTCAAACGTTATCACCCCTCAAAAACTATGCCTCCCTTCCACCCCCTGTCACCTACCACCCACCAAAATCCGAAATAACCAACTCATTTTGAATCGTACCGAAACGCGGGGTACGCCGTTTTATTCATCTTGGAAACCTCTTCATTTCGCCATATCGAACGATAAATTCCGTCTGTCGGTTGAGAAGTTATTGGCTGTCAAAAATTATGCTCCACTGGCCCCCTTGCCACCAACCATCCGTCTAAATCCGCAATAACCAACTCATTTCTACTTGTATGGAAAATCGGAAGACGCCATTTTCTTCCCCTTGCAAATATCTTCTATTGACGATACCGAACCTCAAGTTTCGCTGGTCGCTGCAAAAGTTATTGTCCTCCAAAACATATCCTCCACCCGCCCCCCTGCCACCTACCGAAATCCGCAATAACTTGCTCGTTTCAACTCGTATCGAAAATCGGAAGACGCCATTCTGCTCCCCTTGCAATTCTCTTTCGATGACGCTATCGGACGATAAGTTCTCCGTGTCCTTGCAAAACTTATGCCACTTCCCATACCATGTCTCCCTGCCCACAAAATCCGGAACCTCTCTCTCATTCTAACTCGTATCGGAATTCCGAAGAAGCCGTTTTCTTCCCCTTGTGAAACTACCCTGTTGCTAATGTCCAACAACCCCTAACCCTTCTCGCCCCAAATCCTATTACCCTTCAAATACCATGCCCACCTCGCCTTCCTCCCTCTGGGGGTGGCCGTCGGCGGGCTTCGCCTGGATGGGTTCGACTTCTAAACCCACCTCCCCCCTCGTCATTATACCATATATCCGGCATGCCATCCGCCACGTCAACATCCAATTCCCCTCCCACACCCCTCCAAACCCTTCCCCAACCTCACGCATCCACTCCCAAACATCACACTCAAAATCCCCTCGGAACCCAACCGCCTCCACTATCCCTCGCAAATGCCCACTTCCAATAATACATATAATCCTGGCAACATCACCTCGGATATTCACACCACCCATCCTCCATCCGTCGGCATATCTTCTGCGACAACCCGCATTTCCAACAATGCTGATACCTCCACAATCAATCATCTTCCGCCACTCCCAGTACCTGACATATCCATCCCTGAGTCTCTGCCAAAACACAATCCTCATACGCATGCGCCCCTTCCTCTTCAACATCCCCTCCACGGATGAATCGGCAGTATATGCAATGTCCTCGCACCTCATCCATCACTTCCATCATCTGCTCGTCCCATTCTTCTACGGCCTGCAACCGCCTCTGGATATCTGCGACCCATTCGGCACCTCTTCCGTGGCCTCCACCTCTTCCGTGGCCTCCACCCTCCCCTCACCTCCGCCCCCACTCCTCTGCCACTCTTCATCTGCACCGGTCGCAAAACACGCTGTCCGTCTGCCCGCAACTGCCCTCCTCCGCTCCATCCATGTGTTGACTTAACACAACCCGCGACATCCCTGGCTCTCAATCAATTCCATCATCGCATCTTCGTCAACCTCTCCACTGAATACTCACTCATAATCTCCCTCGCTTCCAACCCCGGCTGCTCTCCACCCGCGTGATGATCACCGACTCACTCACCTCCCCACCTCGCCCTCCACGCCCAGACTGCTGCACGAAGCTCGTCAACCCATACGCGACCCACGTGAACAATCATCATGATCCCCTCAATGTTGATTCCCGTCCCCAATGCCCCCGTCGCAACAATCCATCCACCCTCCCGCTCGCCCATCGCCGTAAACCTCCCCCTTATCGTCTGCTCTCGCTCGATAAAATGCGCACTCCAATAACTCGCAGATCAACCTACCCGTGTCATAACTCCGCACGTATATGACCCTCGCTTCCCACGGCCCAGCGTCACCTGCTGCACATGCTTTACGGCAATGTCGGATGGTGCCTCATCCTTGCTGTCCCTAACCTCGTATCGGATTGTCCTTCATCCCGTGCTTCGCCGGAATATCTGCGCATTGTCAGCGCACAACCGCTCCTTCAACACGTCCTCCAACTGAACCATCAATGTCGCCGTCAACCCGGTAAATGGGCAGTTCAAATACCGCAACATCCACAACTCTCGTAACCGCTCCCGGTACGATGTGTCCGTGTACGCAACGTGGCACTCGTCGAAAAACACATGGGCCAACCGTCCTTCTATTTCCAACCCCTTTGCGTAATGCAAAAACTCGCCCTGCACTGCTCGGTCTGCGCTGACCACAATCAACTGCCGCAACTCATGCCCGGACTGCTCGTCAACCCACTCCTCGCAATCCAACCCAGCTGCCTCCCACGGCTGACAATGTCATCCACCAAAGCTGCGAACGGCACGACCACAACCACTGTTTGCTGACGCGTCATCGCTGCTACGGAAAAAAACAACGCCGACTTCCCGCTGCTCGTCGGCAACACAATGATCAATGGCTGTATGGGGGATGGGTGGTGCACCAATTCCAACGCTGCCGCCTGACCTTCCGACCGTGGTTTGGCATTGATGTTGTGGTATATGCGCTGCAATCCAACCAACGATGGCGCTGGCCCTCCCATCCTCTCTCTCTTCACTGGCCGCATGGTTAACTGCTGGCTGGCTTCGCGTCTGTGTCTGGCCTTGACCTTGGGAATCCCTCCCCCCCCCAGCTCCCATAACCCGTGCCATGCCATCGACGCCTGCTCATATGCCGTCAGCAACTCTGGCCCTAGTCAGTGTAAAAATGCCCATCGACCGCGTAGTGCGCTTGTGCTACTCGCCGTCCATGTCCAGACTGCCTGTTGAATGGTTAACCCTTCTGCGCTCGCACCTGACAGATCTGCACAAAGCTCACCGGACCATGATGTGACGGAACGTGTCCAGCTCCAGCTCCTCGTCGTCATCCCCCTCTGCAAAATCCTCCCCGTCCTCAGCCTCCTCATGCTCCTTCTCCCACGTCTTGCTTGCCCGCATCAAATGCCTTGTGGCAATCCCAATCGCCACATGCCTCCATGCAGACACTGTCAAGCGCACACCCACGTGCACCTTGCTAGCGGACGCCAATGCCCTGCTCAGCTCCTCGCCAGCCCACGGCCCTCGTCTGTCCCCAAACAAATACTCTGACTCTCGCTGATCCAATGCCCGCGCAAATGGACGCACGTATACCAGATACTGTGCCAACACCTGTCCCACCTCGTCCGGCAGACACCGTACAATGTACTCTGTGTTCCCCCGTCTCTTCCGTGCCTTGTCATACATGGTTAAGAAGCACATCCGCCCGTTGACCACGTATATGTTCCGGGCTGAATAAACACTGTTGCTCACCTTCACCGAACCCAACTCGGGCCCGCGTCCGGGCTGCCCACCCGTTACGTGCATGCACACCATCAGCTTCCGTAAGAACTGTCCCTCCTTTATCAGATACTTCTCCACCTGCGGCCGGAACCATTCGGCTGCTTGCGTCGCTCGGTTGTTTCGTAGCAACCTCCACCCCCCACCACCCCTCTGCGCTCGCTCCAACAAATACCGATAACCAACCCCGACCTGGTCCTGGTTCTGCACATGCTCGACGAAGCTGAAGTCCTGCTGACGGAACGACTGGCTCCACGCCATGCTGTCCATGATCCGATCCAAATCAATGGCCTTCACATCACATCCGAACGTCAACACCCCCATCAATGCTTGCAACTCCACAATCAACGCGTGGCACATCGCCTTCACCTTATCCAACACCACCGGCTGGCCCAAGTAGTTTATAACCTTCTCATCGTCAGACCAATGGATGTTGGATGGCGACTGGTGTGTTTTGTTGAACTTCTTCCCCATGGCCAACTGCGTCAAAATGCTCGACGTGGGTGAGAATGACCCCTCGCACAAATGCTTCCTCCGCAACTCGTGGATTCGGTCTGCTACGGAATCGACCTCTGCCTTGCTCTTTAACCTCAACTCGGGCCACGCCTCGCACGGGACTGCCACCTCCAGCATGATCAACCGGTTGATCCATAACATGCCAGCCAGAACGGGCGTGTACGAAAATGCTGACAGCAACGACTGGCTCTGCTCATCAATCCCTCAGACTGCTAAGTAATGCATCATGGGTGAATCGTATAATGCGATCCGGCTCGTGTCTTGCATGACTGTTAACATGCACAAGCACATCAATGCACTGGTTACCTCGCGATCGCAGTCTTTTGCTTCGCCTGCCATTCCGCCTATTGTCTCCCCCCAATGTCCTCATGGCTATCCAACCCCCTCCGTATCCGTTGAATGCACCTCCACTGTGCATACGTGTACTCCACGCCCGTCTCTGAATCCTCCCCCCAATCCCCCGTCGCTGTCCGCATCATGTAACAAATGAAACCCTCCCAGACCCGGCTGTACTTATCCATGCTCTTTGTGCTCTGCGGCAGTTCGAATGGCCGCTGGCTTGCGGCCTCGTTCTTCGGTGACGCCCACCACTTTAACACATCTTTGTGGTCAATGTCCTCTAGCGTGTCCAGACACCGCTCCATGATCCGTTTCCATGCTCGCAACAACCGTTCCAGCTTGGGCTCCTCGGGGTCTGGCATGCGCGCGAAGCGGGACGTCTCAACCATGTTGTGCTTCGACTGGCTTAACGCCTCGTTCCACCTCGTGTACTGCAACCATGAATCCATCTCCACGGCAGGCACCTCCCTCGAAAAATGCAGCCGCCGCTCTTGCTTGTCGGCCTTCCACTTCTCAATATCCTGGATGATCTGGTCGTCAACCATGTGGCCCCCACCATCACTCCCACTATCTAACCCATCGCCTGCATCAGAATCCTCACCTGCATCGCGCACGATGGCTCGACGCCCCTGTCGCACTTGCTCTTCTTGCCTACTCCTGTCGACAACCCAATACCGTGCCCTCCTTTCATCGAACCATGACTGTAACTGCACGGGCTGGAACAAATCCTCATCCGCAACCCGCTGCTTGCTATGCACCTTGTTCCCATGCTGTTTCATTGTGACTCGGCTCCGTGTCTTGTACGGGCAATCCCTACATTGCAACCCGTTTATGACGGGGATAATGGGTTGTGGGGTGGAACCATTACTTGGTAATTTGACTGTCGCATGATCATACATAAATGGGAACTCCTTTACGTACTCACTCACTTGCCTCCGCAACTGACTGGGCGTCTTGTGTCTGTCGCTCAAGTGTCGCAAAATGGCAGTCGGCTTCAATGCATGCCGGCACTCGCAACATACCAAAACACCAAACTCCACATTCAATGCAATTATACTGCGTAATACTTCGGGGACGGGTTGTGCCATGGCTGCAACCTCCATTCCAATCATTTAGAACCCTTTCAACTGCTCGCGCATGGTGTTTCCATGACTTGGGGTTATCCCAATCACGCTGTGTTTGTGTTGGGGTGATGCACGGGCCAAACCTTATTTTCCCCATACAAAAAAATCCCAATCACGCCGTGTTTGGGGGAAACTAATTGTTAGGCTCCACTAGGCTGCGCACTGGGTACTCATGAGTCGAGTAGTAGAATTTCTACTCACCCAGCTGAGTTACTCACTCATATCCCGAGTATTGTTGAATGAGGATTACTCACTTGCCGGGTACCTAGTATAGGTCTTGGCAACCCAGTTATATCACGTGTTTGATTAGTCATTGAAAAGGGGGTGTGATCGTGACTTCACATTGATATCGATATCGTAAAACGCCATAACTCAATAACTCCATTCCCATGTCGTTGATATCCTATTCCACACTATAACCTTTGCCTTTAGGTACCAGGTTACCAGAAGGTTGCCAGAACTTATCTAACCTTCATTCCTGGGTGAGAGACATTTCCATCAATTAAGCCTACAGCTCCATGATTAAACATCATATCCCGCAAACGCCGAACCAATACCATATCCTTTGCCTGAATTGTCACTCTCTTCGCATGAATAGCAAGGAGATTTGTCACTATAACTGTTAGTATGTCCCTGTCACTATGTTCAAGTATCATACTCTCAAATTCTCGAATGAGGAAGCATTCGGCAGCTTTCTGGAGAGCTAGGATAGCAGATTGCTGGAAGCGAAGATTGGACTTGAAGTCTTGTGCGATTTTCCTAACAAGACGCTGGAATGAGAGCTTTGGAATAATCAGGCGAGTATCAAGTTGCTGTCTTCTAATATCGCGGAGAGCCTTGGTGCCTATATGTTTATTAGAGAGTTCTGGTAATCCTCTGGTAATCCTCTTACCAGACTTTGCACGGCGCATGGCCTTCTGAGCATGATTGTTGCAAGCTTGAGATGAGCGAACTGGAGCTTTTCTTGCTGTGCGCACAGCCTTTTCCTTTCCCTTTCCCTTTCACCAAGCCTAGAGCCAGCCTGTAATCCAAGTGGCATCCTTGGTGCTGTGCCGCCAGTTGATCTCCTAGCAGTTTAACATTAAGATGAGTTAGTGAAGTATACACAAGACAAAGAAGTAGATCAAAAGATATATGTACTTACAGTGAGTTTGTAGCAAGGATGTTGTAGAAAGAGTAAAGAAAGAGGTAGAGGTTGAAAGGTATGTGTTTTATTTGAAGGTATGCATTGTAGTGTTGTTTAGAACAGTAATTATTTGCAGGTGAATATTCCTTGACGAATATAATTGTTTGCAACTTTAAAAAAACAACAACCTTACAACCAACCACCTTCCTTGGTTACGTTCCGATCTACACATTCTTCTTCTCTTTTGCGCTTTACCTCTTTACTAGGACCTCAAGTTTATTATCTTGATTCTACAGTCAGAACTTCTGATGATCTTCTGCTAATCACGTGTTTAGCATGGCGAAACGCAAGGCACCTGAAGAACTCTCCACTAATTTGAATACTATCAAAGCTCGCAACCGCGTCTCCAACCTTACTGAAGATGAGAAGGCTGTTCATTTAGCACTCAAGGCTGACCATGGCGATCTGAGCTACTACTTAAAGAAGTTATACAAGTCTGCAAAGTATATCGCTGCCTCTGCTGAAGACAAGACACGTCTACAGAATGAATTGAAGGTTGAGCGTATTCGTGTTCGGTAAGTTCCTTCTGGTAATCTCTGGTAGCCTTAATCTAACTATAAACAGGACTGAAAAGGGCACCCATGCATCTTGCATTGCGAATCAGAAAGTCAAGAATACTAGCGCCCCTTCTTCTTCTCCACAAGCCCCACCATCTACTCCGCCACAACTTCTGTCTGAGCTTGCTGCATTTGAGGGTATCACCAGTATCCCAATCGATGACAATCATAACAGCGAATGGGAGGATACTGAGGTTGAAGACGATTTAGAGTTGGAGCTTATGTTACGGCGCGACGATATTTTAAATGACGAGGCTGTTCTACCAGATGAGCTTTCTGATGAAGAGATCGCTAGCATCCAGGCTCTCTTAACTCAAGCATGCATTGATGTTGGTACCTCATAGTCTGGTAATCTTCTGGTAATCTTCTGGTAATACTAACGGTTGATAGGCCCATGAAGAGTCCAATTTCCGCAAGTGGCAACATTTCTGGGATAGCTGTATCCGCTCATATACGAGAAAGGCTGGAAAGCTGAGAAAGAAGCCTGAGCATCTCTTTGAATATATGCCATGGATTGATGTAGAAGAAGGGTACGTCTCTGATCATTCTAGCAATCTTCTAGAGATACTAATTGTTTATTATAGCACTTTTCACAACGTTATCCCACCACATAAATATTTCTGTTTGTACGAGCAGGCAGTTTGGACAAACTTTACAGCTTGGAAGTTTGGAAAGTGGGCCCAATTACCAGGACCTGCGCAGTGGTACCCAAAGTCTTACAATCTTGTCGACAACGGATGGTTACAAGTCTCCACTCATAGTTCTAGCTTCAAAGAGGCGTTCTTACTTGTCTACTCTAAGAAATTTGATAAGGAAAAGTGGGCTAAGGTATCAGCTGCACAGGATATGTTGTTTCTGGAGTTAGAGTAGAGGAGAGAAATGGAGTATTTGATTTTCCGACGCGAATAGGGGCTATAGAGATTTAAGTATTTCATCGTAGCCAGACTTCTGGTAATCTTCTGATAATCAAACAATTTGCTACTTGCCAAATGTCATCGCAATATTCAGAGTTGTTTGACTCTGACAATCCTATTTCTAATATATTCTCAGACTCTCTTCCCTCTTCTCAACGACTACCTTCATTAAATCAAATCCCTGCGGGCCTCGAATATACTGGCAAATTAAACCAATTCATCAAATGGACTAAGGATACACACGATGTATTCATTGAGTGGTGGAAGCTATCACGATGGTATGAACAACACTCAGATCATACTACAAAACTCCTTACGAAGATTGCATGGGATTCAACCAACCGGAGTTCTCAATACTGGAGAATTTATCACCTAGGAGCAGACCGGCTTTCTGGAGAACCATGTGTCATTTGTACCTATTGTTCGAAGGCCCTTACGCATCCTGCAATCAAGTCTGCTGGCCCAAAGTCTATGGCAACACATCTTGCATCAGACATTTGCAAAAAGAAGTCACGGATGGGTAAGGATAGTCTCTATCAAATGCGAATCAATCAGATGCGACCTCAACAGGTAAGGATTACCAGATTATTACCAGAATTATATAGGCTAATATCTATAATAGGATCATATTCTCACACAAGAGGCATTTTACGAACAAGTTCTATACACAGTTATCTCAACTCATAGCTCATTCCGCTCAGTCGAGGATCCTGAATGGAAAAGGCTTGCTATCTTACAGAATCCTCACTATCCACTACCCTCAGCAACAACTATTCGAAACCTCTTAACAACAAAGCTCACACAAATCGAAGAAGAGATGCTACAAGATGTTGTTCCTGGTTCAAAGATTGCATTATCGCTCGACTGTTGGTCAAGTGTTACTCGACTTTCATTTATGGGTGTTATTGCATCATTTATCGACCGTCATTGGAAAATGCAAGAGGTCTTGATTGGGTTTGAACCTATATATACAGAGCATACTGGTGCTGAGTTATGTGGAATACTTGAAAAAGTTATCACAAGGCAGCATTTAGAAGGACGAATTATATCCATTACGACTGATAATGCGTCAAAAAACACTTCAATGATGAGAGATGTGGAAATAATGCTTGATAGTATTGCAGACAACGAGCATTTCATTGGAGGAAAAGTACAACACATACCCTGCCTAGCTCACGTTATTCAACTTGCCCTTAGTGCTCTCCTTGGTCGAATCCGGATTACGCCAACAAATCAAGAGATCTTAATGAACTGGGAAGAAGAGAATCAGATGGAGGGCCTTGCAAAGTTGCAGAAGGACAAGGGTATTGGATTTACACTTGGAAAGGTATATATTCTCTTGTTAGTTCTGGTAAACTTCTGGTAGTCTTTTCTAATATCTCATAGCTCCGGAAGCTCACTATCTTTGTTAATTCAAGTCAAACTCGAAGGAACAGGTTTATGACTTTGCAAAAGGCAAACATGAACCGGGGTCAATCATCTCAGAGGCTTCTTCGACTTATTCAAGATGTATCAACTCGATGGATTCGACATGCCATATGCTTCTGCGAGCACAGCAACTCAAGTCAACAATCAATCAATATACTCGAGGCGATCATGGTGCTCACATGTTCAGACTTAGCGAGCTAGAATGGAAGCACATCGAATACATCATTGATCTTACAAGGCCATTCAACTTCTTTACAACAAACATTGGATCGTCAGCCGGACCTACTGTCTGCTATACACTTGGAGTATATCAAAAACTCTTATCAACGCTTGAAGGAACTCGGCACCGGCTACGGCATAAGACATATCCATGGGCAGCAAAGATGACTTTAGCAATCGATGCTGCAGAGAAAAGATTAGGAAGTATTATAACAAGCTATACACAAATACTGGATCTATCTTCGCATTTGCTAGTATCTTAAATCCTAGTGTGAAGCTCTCACACTTTAACAAAAAGGTTTGCAAGCTTGACTTTTCAATACGAAATTGGGAGACAGAGTTTGAACAACAGTTTAGGACTCTTTATAAAGAGCAGTACTCTACAGTGCGAGTTGCGAGTCAATCAGGATTACGAGATGCAGATATGGATCCATTAGCCTTAGTATTGCAGCAAAGTCAGACATTAAATGGGACTCGGGGCCAGCGAGAGGAATATGTGAATGAGGCTGATCTCTATCTTGATGCTCGTAAGTTTCTGGTAATCTTCTGATAATCTTATTCTAACTTGTATAGCACATATCTACACAAAGATATTGCTATTTTGGCAACAAAAGGAAGAGCAATTTCCTGGTCTATCAGCAATGGCTCGTGATATACTTTGTATTCCTGCTGCTGAGTCTGGAGTTGAGCGAGTCTTTAGTGCCGCAAGGGACGTATGTGGCCACCGACGTGGTCAACTTAATCCTGAGACGATTAAGAGTATTATGCTTATATATTACTCTCGACAATACAAGAATCGTCAAGGTCATCGTGACAAGCTTGCAGATATGATGGACGTCGTTGATATGACTGAGGAGCAAGTCGAAGAAGAGTATGAGGCACAACGACAACGGATGTGCAATTCTATCGAGTTACAATATATCAGCGATGAAGAAGAACACGATCAAATACACATATCCGAGAGACATATTCAAAGGTACAATATCCTCCGTTTAATCCTCAGCGGCCACAGCAACAGCAAGACTTATCACAAGCTGCACATGAAGAACGACAAATGCGCTACCAACAAGGTGAAGAAAGAGATAGGCTGACCGTCTTAACGAGACCTTATACGACATCCCAGATGACGATATCCCAGATAATGAAGATATAAGAGAAGATGGTAATAATGAGGAGCCTATACTTCCAACTATTCATGACGATGAAGATAAGGATATGCCGTCCTCCGCCACCAACGCCTATCCAACACCCTCGGAAGACTGGAAGAGATCTACTTGATATCTTTCAAGCTACTCGTCAAGACCCTATAAATACTTTAGGTATTAGTAGGTCTGGCCGGCCTCATCAAGCAAGGTGGAAAGATGTTCTTGAGCATATATAATATAGTGTTCTGATAATCTTCTGATAATCGTGGTACTTAGATAGAGGAATATACGTGATTCGTTCTCACAGCTTATTAGAGATGGTAGAGTGATGCTGATAAATGTAATACTTTAAATTAACTTACAACTGTAACCATAAAACAGTATTAATCGTATGAGGGACTGTTCACGTAATGCATATATCTTACACGTGACAGCCGAGTACTCACTGGGTTTTTACAGAGTAACTGAGTATTGGCCTCACTCACCGAGTCGAGTGAAAGGTTCAGCTACTCACCCAGCTGAGTAACCCACTGAGTGAGTGAGCCGAGTATTGGGCGAGTAGTGCGCAGCCTAGGCTCCACCTGCCCTACCACTCGACAAATCCGAAATAACTCTCTCACTTTAAACTCGTATCAGAAATCGGAGGTAGCCATTCTGTTCCGCTTGTAAACCTCTGTCAATGGTGGTGTCGAACGATAAATTCCGGCCCGCTCCTGCAGAACATGTGACTCTTCTCATACCTAGCCCCCCACCACCCTTTGCCACCCATCGGAATCTGGGAATACCTCGGCCATTTTTTCAAAGCCGTATCAAAAATCGGAAGACGTCATTTGATTCCCCCTCGTAATTCTCCTTCAATGACGATATCGAACTTTATATTCTTACCCATCGCTGCAGAAGCTATCGCCACTCACGTGCCATGCCCATACTGCACCCTTGCCACCTGGCGGAATCTGGGATATCTCCATCGTTTCAAACCGCATCGTAAATCGGAAGACGCCATTTTGTTCCCTTGTAAATTTCTTCAATTACGATATCGAACGTTTGATCTTGCCTCTCAGCTCTGCATTTATACCACTTCCCGTTCTATGCCCTCTTCTTCTTGCCACCCATCGAAATCCATTATAACACGATCATTTCAACTCGTATCAAAAATCGGAGGACGCCATTCGATTCCGCTTGCAAATCTCCCTTAATAACGATACTGAACGTTTGGTTTCGTCTGTTGTTGTAAAAGTTATTAGCCTCTGAAAACTATGCCTCAGCCCCCCCCTGCCACTTACCGCCTGACAAGATCCGCCCATAACTTGTTCGTTTTCAACTCGTATCAACAATCGGAGTATGCCATTTTGTTCGTCTTGCAAAGTTGTCCAATTTCCCCTATCGAACGATAGATTTGATCCATCGCTGCAGGCGTTATTAGCCTTCATAAACTATACTCAGCCAGTCCCCTCAGCCACCAAGCACCTGACGAAATCCGAAATAACTAACCCATTTTTTCTCGTATCAAAAAAGGAGTACGCCCATTTTGTTCCCCTTGCAATCCTCTTTCAATAACGCTATCGAACGTTAAGTTCAGCGCACTGCTGCACAAGTTATACCACGTCTCATATGTAACCACCCCCTTGGCCTTCCTACCCACTGCCACCCGTCTAAATCCGGAATATCTTCACCAGTTTGAACTCGGATCAAAACTTGGGATACGCCATTCGATTCCCCTTGTAAATATCTTCCATTGACGATACCGAACGTTAAGTTTCAGACGTCGCTGCAAAAGTTGGAATCCTTCTCACATGTTACCATGGGGCCCCATTTCCTGGGCCCGGCCCAACAAATCCGAAATAACTCACTCGTTTCAAGTCGTATCAAAAATCGTAAGAGGCCATTCGATTTCTCTTGCAAATCTCTTCAATGACGATATCGAACGTTAAGTTTCCGCCGTAGCTGCAAAGGTTATAATCCCTCAGAGTAGGTGCTCCACCACCCCTACTGTCCCCCCAGCGAAATCTGCAATATCTCACCCGTCTCAACTCGTATCACAAATCGGAGTACGCCATTTGATTCGTCTTGCAAAT